AGGGTGACAACGCGTGTACAGGTTCTCGTTCCCGGTGTCTCTGGGACTTTTTTTTAATGCACGTAGTTCTGTTTTTTTCGCGCCTTAGTCAACCTCTTTGTTTCTGTTTTATCTCTGCGGCCGCTTAGGTAGTATGTGTTCTGTAGATTTCCCTCATTTGAACTTCCCTTTTTGAGCCGGTCCACGCGCACCAAATGAAGTAGACGATCAGGGTTGTCTGCTTTTTCGAGCTAGTATCGTCACCTTGTCGATACCGATAGCACACTGGGAGTTTGATTCGCGACGTCGGTCCAAAGACGGTAACAAAAGTACATTACTCATCTGCATAACTGACTTCGTTTACCTAACCCTACCTCATCCGTTGACCGCAATACGAAGACTGTATCAGTAATTACCTGACAGTTGGAATTGCTTGAGTCTACAATGCATGTACTATCTTATGAAATGTTAGCCGATACTGCAAAATATGTTTCCTATTCGAAATAAACTGGGCAGGAGTGTATTATTAGTAATTATTGTTCAACGTACACCCAATACGTAATATTTGAATTCATGAGGGCATCGAAAATAAATAAAATAAAATAGAACCACTACTACCTTAGTACGCATTTTTACAGCTATGTCTTTGCAGGTGGTCGGAAAGAGGCTCTTCCAAAAGCCGGCATCTTGAGGTGACTAATATATCTTTGGATTACGCTACACGTAATTACTATTACAACCCTACTTTTGTAATTTTTTGAATAGAAAGCACATTTCAGACTTTCAGCAGAAATTTTATGAGGTGGAACATCTACCAAAGATGCAGTGTGACTACTATTTAGGCGCTTGTGTGAATTAGAAGCATGGAAACTCGAACCACTAGTTTAAATGGAGCCGTAAGGTACCTAATGTTGCAGTTGTATAGTTGTTTAGTTCTCCAGATCGCAGCTACCACTTCGCTCCTATACCAGCTTGAGACGTGGCGATGTTACGTCTGGTCTGCGAAGTCGTACTTTCAGTTGCACCAACGGCAATGGTGTGCGCAGAGAGATTGAATGTTATGTTTTCTACCCCCCACAAACATACGAACCTCCAATAATTCAGTCTATATGCACAGCTTGCTGTTTAACCCGTTCTTTATTTTCCAGGGAGTTTTCACACTTTCACATCAACTTGGGGGGCGTTTATCGCTCCCCCTCCTCTTCGACTTACTGAATGCAATTAGTTAATACTTGAAAAAGAATGAGTTCGGAGGCCTGAAGTTACTTTGCTTTCACTTGTTAGGTACTTTGAGGGCGGCATTTCGTCGGTCTACTGTTGGGACTTGGAGCAAGGTTTCGCCATGGCAGTCCTCATTAAGAAGACGGGTGATGCCGCCCCTGCCAATGGTTGCTGGGACTCAATCCACATCGTCGAAGTTCAGGTGAGTGTCACTCCGCCCTCCCCCGGTTCTCGCTTGCACACACCATCCTGTGTATTCCAATCAAATTTCTCTCT